CACATGGCGAGACAAAGCTTAAAGCCATCACAGTCCATTGACTCTCACGCACACTGCCCATTCACTGACTTTCATGCACAGCATGCTAACGTGTTACAGGCCCTCCACCTCGGCAGAGGGGCAGGGGTGGGAACATCCAAGGTGGATGCCTCACCAGCATGGGGACCAGCTCCTCTGCACAGCCTCTTCTTAGGAACACTGTTGTGCCCTCTGTATTACCACCATACATTTAAAACGACACAAAAGGAATGCTGTGATGGCAGAGATTTGCCTCAAAATATCTGGGGGATGGGCATATAGATAAAAAAGATGGATCGGCTAGGCGTGGTGACTCACGCCTGTAATCCCAGCACTTTGGGAGGCCGAGGAGGGTGGATCACAAGGTCAAGAGATCAAGACCATCGTGGCCAACATGGTGAAATCCCGTCTCTACTAAAAATACAAAAATTAACTGGATGTAGTGGTACGTGCCTGTAGTCCCAGCTACTAAGGAGGCTGAGGCAGGAGAATCGCTTGAACTCGGGAAGTAAAGGTTGCAGTGAGCCGAGTTCGCGTCACTGCACTCCAGCCTGGCAACAGAGTGAGACTCCATCTCAAAAAAAAAAAAAAAAAAAAAAGATGGATCATGAGTTGATAATTTGTAGAGCTGAGTGATGAGTATACTGCCTTATGCTCTTCTTTCTTCTTTATACTTGAAATTTTCCATAGTTTTAGCAAAAAGGTATCTTGAATGCATAGATCTGAACTCCACCACCCTCCTATTTCCAGAAAACAGAGGATTAGATCAAATGAAAATAGAAGAGCATCTTGATTTTATAAAACGCTCAGAGAAGACTCTTCACACCTCAAGTCTCTCACTTTTCTCCCTCTCCCTTTTCTCCTGATGTTACTCCTCCCCTAAGACCTCTCCTTTCTCCAAGCCATTCATTCAAAGCCAAGACAAGGAAAGACTGCCAATTTCCCCATATGAACCCAAACCTTCACCTCCCTTCAATCAAGTCAACTACACATGTGTATAGCCAGTCCTGCTGCTTTCTCTGTACTGCCTCCTGGTTAGGAATACCCCTAAGCATTTCATCTATTCAATAAATATCCACTGCAGGCATGATGGGGCCAGGCATGCACTAGGTACCAGCAGAAGAGCAAAATCTAGATGAACAAGGCCCAGCTTGGAAAGCTCTCATCCTATGGAAAGCCCACAAACAAGCAAGTAAGAAATACAATGATTCTACATGGGGAGTGTGCCATGAGGAGCCATGAGGTAGCATGTAGGGGGGTATTTTAAGCAGGGTCCTCTTGGAAGAAATACTCAGTGATGGTTAATTTTAAATGCCAAATGACTGCACCATGGATGCCCAGAGGGCTGGCTGAACATTATTTCTGAGTGTGTCTGTAAGGATGTTTCCAGCAGAGATTAGCATTGGGATTGGCAGACTGAGTTAAGCACATCCACCCTGCAGAGTGTGGGTGACCATCATCTAATCCTTGAGGGCCTGGATAGAACAGAAGGGCAGAGGAAAGTTGAACTTTCTTCTGTGAGCAAATGGCTGCAGTGACACAGCCCTGGTGTCCTCATTCAGGCCAGTCCCACACGGGCTGGATCACACACAGCTATCTTGCTTTGACAAGCCCAAAGATGTGTCTCCTGTGAAGCCCAACAAACTCAGCTGGATGCATCTACAGTTTCTATGTTCTCCAAGAGAGAGAAATAGGGAAAACAAGGCCAGAAACAACCAAGGCACTGTAAGGCCTGGCCTGCTGGGACCTAGACCTGGCAACGAAAGGCTTTTCTGCAGAGGAACAACACCAGCTTCAGAATTCACTGCCAGCCTCTTGCAAACAGATCCACTTGTCATTATATTAGAGGGAGATAAAAAGAAAGGTTTTAGTGCAAAGCAACCAGTGGGCCTCTTTTAGTGAGTAAGGCAACACACAAGCTGAGAAGCAAAGACTTGGGAATCCCACTTCACCCAGGGAGCCCCCACGAAGGAACCAGGAGGACACACACAGTGACGCATTCTGACCACATCCCCCAGAGGATCTTTACTAAGGGCAAGTGCATTCAGTGGCATATGCAGCTAAATCCAGTTATACTAAGTTCTAGAAATCTGAACACAAGGAGAGTTCATTTGACTGATTCCACTGGGATCAGGAAACAGGACAAAAACAACCACATTTGTACAAATTAACAAGAATCAGAAAAAAAAAAAAAAAGCATGAAAATCAGATCCAACATGTCTCATCAGAAAACGGCTTGGCTTTAAATTCTTATACCAAGGGTGGCACAGAATATTTTGCAAAAGTTATGACATCTTTTGTAAGAATGGACCAACTGGAAGATTTCTGGTGATAAATCTTTCTTGACCAGGAGATTAAGATGTCCGTTGGCTGCTTTGAACAAGCAGAGAGCTTGCGGATGAGAAAAACTGAGGTTGTTTTAAGAAAAACACTTAAAACTCAAAGGCAGTAAACAGGACCATTTTCACATTGGCCAAAGCATTCTGAAATGCTTCTAGGCAACCACGAAGCATTTAGAAGTACATTTGAGCTGCCAATTATGGCTTAGACAACTTCTACTGATGGGGCAATTCTGGAGCTGCTTGTAAGACATGAAGCTTCAGGCTAATTTTGGTTCATTTAGCCCACAATAATTTGGGATTCATATATTTCATACAATCTCATTTACTACGCTGGATACAACTTGCTTATACTAAGATCAAAATCCTAACTCCATACTTAAAAAGATGATAGTAAGTTAATTACTTCAAAATATTATATTACCTGGTAATTCCATATTAAACAAAGCTAAGTATTTATTCATATCCTGCATACTTTCAAAAGAGGACCTCAGGCTGTCTAAGATAAAAGGCTTAGAGAACAAGAATGAAACAGAAATGGAGCATAGGAAAGAGGGGGAGAAACAATTACAAACACCTAAGCTAACAAAATCATTGAATATAAACAGTAAGTTTCCTTCAAGCTTTCTACGAGCTAAAACAAATGAGCAAGCTTTAATAGAGAAAAAATATCTGGGGTCAGGCTCGGTGGCTCACACCTGTATTCCCAGCACTTTGGGAAGCTGAGGTGGGCGGATCACTTGAGGTCGGGAGCTTGAGACCAGCCTGACCAATATGGTGAAACCTCATCACTACTAAAATACAGAAATTAGCTAGGCATGGTGGCGGATGCCTATAATCCCAGCTACTCAGGAGGCTGAGGCAGCAGAATCATTTGAACCCGGGAGGTGGAGCTTGCAGTGAGCCAAGATCATGCCATTGCACTCTAGCCTGGACATCAGTGCAAGACTACATCTCAAACGGAAAAAAAAAAAAAATCTAATTGAATCTTTTATGGTTTACATTCTTATTCAAAGAAACTAAGTAACATACAGAACAAAGTTTTGAAACAGAAATTTTTAAATATATGTAAATATATCCTGAAGAAGATCTTTGTTAAATCAACACTCAAGAAAAATCAAGCACAATTCATCAACAATTTACTGACAATTGCTCTCCATGGACAGTTGACACTTATTGACAGCTGTTAATTTGATGAAGATACTGATGATGGTAGTGCTGGTGACAGAGTATGTCTCTTTCTGTGTCTTGGCATTGAATGGTTAGGAGACAGGGCACCAGTAACTCACCTAATAAGAACCAGATATAAAATTTTCAGGGGATTTTACTTGCTGTGTTATAAAGCTTATTCACTGTAGGAAGAAATCCTGAAGCAGGGTCCCTGGCCATCACCTCTATCATCAGCCTTTCCTTAAGTCCCCTAGAGTCCCCAAGTTTTGGAAGACACCTGGTGAGTGGGCAATTCAGTCTCCAGTTTTGAGAAACTGAAACATGGACAGTCAGGAAGAATGGCTAAAGGGAGAGTCATGTGCTTTGAGTCCCAGACAATGGTGAGAACTGACTTTCTTTTATGATAGTAAGAAATGGCTTCTGACTCAGAGAGAGGTCTACATGGAGGGGCTGCAGAAAGCCCCCCACTTCTTGGTTTGATGTGTTTTTTTCTAGGGAAGAACACTCCCACCTAAATGAAGTCAATATTTTCTTTAAATATTGGCCTTAGCAATAAGTGTACACTCTGGTGCATTTTGTAAGGTTTAGCCAAGAAAGAAGATTAAAATTCACATCCCAGAAGGCACAAAGGACCAAGCCATGCACAGAGTGCGTTCCAAACCCAGCCAGTAACTTAACAGGGACATCTCGAGTCTGGGATCCGTGAAAGCACAGGGGAACTGAAAACAACACCAAGAATGAGGACAATAGAAAATGAATGGAGCAGCCAAACGCCGGTGAAAAAAGGAATCAAATAAATCCAGGCGTCTCAGTCAGAATGTCACTCAACAGACTTCACGTCTGCCTCCAATAAATGAGGAAGTTTGTGGAATTATGCAGAGGTTTTAAGCTTTCAATAAAACTGCTTGACAAGGGTAAAATATTAATTCCATCTGCCAAATAGAAAGAAAATGATTAACAAAAAGGGCAAGGAGATAACATGGGGAAATATAAGGTGTTCTGCAGGATAAATGAGTTGAAGAATCATTAAAATTCTTATTACTTTGAGTAGGATTTGAAGAAATGCTGTCAAAGAATGCAAAGTTCAGAGTAAGATAAAACCAGTACTTTCAGATTTAAAGAAAACTTGAATTCTTTTCCTTGCAATCATCACAATGGAGCGAAGTGATTGCCTCCCCGGGACAGACAATCACATATCTTAAAGGCTACAATGTATGCTGATTACCCTAGGACTTTGGTGTATACCTAAATTACAAACTAGGAGCTTTTGCCTTCATTTCTCAATGATCTATCACCTGCACTACATGTCAATTACCCTTCTCTTGTAAGGGCTAAATCTTCCTGTCTTGTAATACAGCAGTTTTAATTGGTTGCAACCTCCACTCCTTTTGTCAAGAGGAGGCAATTCAGAGGGTCAATGTCTTCAGAAAATAAATAACAGGACAAGTGAATAATTCTTGGGGTTCCACTCACCATGCTGTGTGAAGAGGTCACTGTGGACGATTTCAATCAGGCAGTAGAGTTTCTGGATGGTCAGCAAGCCCATGGGAACATTGAGGATGAATTCAGTAAACATTTTGCTGTGAGGAAAAACACAAGGGAAATAATTTTGAGACACACAGCAAAAGGATCCAATGCCGTTACAATACTGAGATATAAGGTCATCATACGGTCATTAATGTCACCAGTATGTTCAACACGGCCCCTCATGCACTATGGGGTCAATAACTCATTCCAGGAAATGATGTTTTGAAAGTGTTCATTTTCACTTCACAACCACTAACATGCCTATAATCCAAAAGACAGACAATAACAAGTGTTGGTAAAGACATAAGGAAATGAGAACAGTCACACCAAGCTGCTGGGAAGGTAACACAGTGCAGCCACTTTGGAAAACAGTGTGGCATTTCCTCCAAATGTTAAACATAGTCACCATATGGCTCAGCAATTCCACTTCCAGGCATATACCACTCACCTCACCCCAAAAAAATGAAAACATAGATCCACATAACAATTTGTCCATGAATCCAAGTGGCATTTGTTCATTACACTCAAAAAGTAAAAACAATCCAGAAGACCATCAGCTGATGAATGGATGAACAAAATGCAGTATATCCACACAATTCATGTACAAAAAGCAGCACTGATGCGAAAACATGGAGAAATCTTGAAAACGTTATGCTAAGTACAAGAAGCCAGTACAGAGGCCACAAGTTGTACGATTCCAGCTCCATAAAAAGGCCAGAAAAGACAAATGCGTAGATACAGAAAATAGATTAAGGGTTACCTGGGACTGGCTAGGAAGGAAAAACGAGCAGAAATGGACACCGGGATCTTGCCGGGGTTATAAAAATGTTCTAAAATTGGACCCTGGTGATTGTTGCACATCTTCGTAAATACACTAAAAACCACTGAACTGAACCGTCTACAACAGGTAACTTTATAGTTTGTAAATAATATCTCAATTTTTTTAAAAATATACTTTTACATTTGGACACAGGAAGGGGAACATCACACACCGGGGCCTATTGTAGGGAGGAGGGAGGAGGGAGGGATAGCATTAGGAGATATATCTAATGTAAATGACGAGTTAATGGGTGCAGCAAACCAACATGGCACATGTATACATATGTAACAAACCTGCACGTTGTGCACATGTATCCTAGAACTTAAAGTATAATTATATATATATATACACACACATATATATATACACACACACACACACCCCCTTTTAGGAAAGGCTAACAGACCTATGAAGAACTTGTAGATGAGCTCTTGTTAGTAACTATATAAACACAAATTAAAGTGGGCAAATATGGTTTCCCAGTCATAATGGCGCGGTTCTATACAATGAGAATTCCCAGTACCAGCAATGTTTGGGAAAACCGACACCAACATATGCTGGTAGAATGTTGGTTTCACCTTCTGGGGGCGGGGGGCAACTAGATAAAATCTACTGAAAATTCTGTAAGAAAATGCAATACGAAGTAATGCCATTTCTCTTTTTATCCTAGTGATATAAAATAGGAGCAGAAACCTACAATTAAGCTACAGGAAACTCTATCCCGGCATTTTATAATATATACATATTTTAAAAACTTCAATACAACTCAACAGCCATCAGGTAGCACAGTAGCTAGAGGCCTGTTCTTTGTAATCAAAAAGCCCGGGTTGGCCTTGAACCACTGCCATTTACCAGCTGAATAATCACGGACAAGTTATTGAGGATAAAATTAGGCTAACAATAGAACCTATGTCATACCATTGTTGTAAAGATTAATGGACTAATACAAGTGCTTTGTGCAAAGCCTATTTTACATGGTGAAAGCACATAATAGATGCCACATCTATTATTGCTGCTTAAAGATGGGCCAGCATGGGACAGAATCAGCATGAAAGTTATTAACAATGATGATACAGAAGATGCCCTCATGGCATGGGAGAGGAAGATATCTTTTTTTTTTTTTTCTTTTTTTGAGACGGAGTCTTGCTCTGTAGCCCGGGCTGGAGTGCAGTGGCCGGATCTCAGCTCACTGCAAGCTCCGCCTCCCGGGATTGCGCCATTCTCCTGCCTCAGCCTCCCCAATAGCTGGGACTACAGGCGTCCGCCACCTCGCCCGGCTGGTTTTTTGTATTTTTAGTAGAGACGAGGTTTCACCGTGTTAGCCAGGATGGTCTCGATCTCCTGACCTCGTGATCCGCTCGTCTCGGCCTCCCAAAGTGCTGGGATTACAGGCTTGAGCCACCGCGCCCGGCCGAGAGGAAGATATCTTAAGTGCAGGAGCTGATCACAAAGAATGGTGACTTTTTTTTTTTTTTTTTGAGACAGTCATGCCCTGTCGCCCAGGCTGGAGTGCAATGGTGCGATCCTGGCTCACTGTAACTTCTGCCTCCCGGGTTCAAGCAATTCTCCTGCCTCAGCCTCCTGAGTAGCTGGGATTATAGGCACGTGCCATCATGCCCAGCTAATTTTTTGTATCTTAATAAAGACAAGAGTTTCATCATGCTGGCCAGCTTGGTCTTGAATTCCTGACCTCATTCGTGATCTGCCCGCCTCGGCCTCCCAGAGTGCTGGGATTACAGGTATGAGTCACCACGCCAAACCAAGAATGGTGACGTTTTTAGGTGTGTGTATATGTGTGTATGAAAGGGATCCAGCACTTTCTGATTCTTTTGGGTAGTGGACTTAAGTTTGAGTTATCCTCTTCTCTCATTTCTTCTGTTTATTAAAACATGAGCCAATTTTCTAAATAGAAACAGGTATGTATGTGATTTTCAAAGTCATTTTTAAAAATTGAGGATGAGTTCGTGTCCTTTGTAGGGACATTGAATGCAGCGGATCCACTCATTCTCAGCAAAAACTATCGCAAGAACAGAACAAATACCGCATGTTTTCACTCATAGGTGGGTGACACTGCAAACAATGAGACTCACTTGGACACAGGAAGGGAAGACATCACACAATGGTCTATTGTGGGGGGGGAGGTGTAGGGGTAGCGAAGGCCGTTTACCCCTCAAGGGAGACCTTTCCGCTAAGACAGTTCTGTAATTTGACCAAGTGAGATTATGAGGCATTAGGAGATGGAAATAACTAATGTAAATGACGGGAGTTAATGGGTGCTCAGCACACCACATGGCCGATGAAATACGATATGTAATAAGACCCTTGGTATCATTGTGCAATAGTTTAGCTTAGAACTTAAAGTTATAGCAAAAAAAAAAAATCAATGGTAACGCGGCATTGAGGAGAGAAACCCATAGGGATGCACATACTAGGACACGGCCAGCAGGCCGCTTGCCGGCCCCATGGGCCAGCAGTGGTACCTCCTATGATCTCCAAGACATGGCTCAACACAAAACTGTGGTGCTTCGATTGGGTAGCCCTTGTGAGGGGCTAATTTCGTGTGCAATGAGGACAGGCCCGGCTCTCCGTCGGTTGAGGGGCTAAATTGGGTGTACAGATGAGGACAAGGCCCGGCTCTCCGTCGGGTGAGGGGGCAATTTGGTGTACAATGAGACCAGGGCTCGGTCCGCTCTCGTCGGGAAGGCGCTAGATTTGGTGTACAATGAGGACCAGGCCCGGCTCTCCTCGGTGAGGGCCTATTTGCGTGTACCAAGTGAGACAGGCCGGCTCCTCCTGTTCGGTGATTGAGGGCTAATTGGTTGGTGTTTTCAATGGAGGACAGGCCCGGCTCTCCGTCGGTGAGGGGCTAATTTGTGTGCACAATGAGGACAGGCCCGGCTCTCCGCTGGTGAGGGGCTAATTTGTGTGTACAAAGAGGACAGGCCTGGCTCAAGCACAAACTGACAGCAACGACAATACACCTTCGCGGGTGAGGAGCTGATCTGTGTGCACCATGAGACAGGCCTAGAGCATGGCCACAGCCGACACCAGCTGCAGCTTTCTCCGCTTTCCTCGCAGTTTGTCAAGACCTGAGCTGCTCAAATGCTCAAATATGAGAAAGCCCTGGAAGCACCTGCGTGGGGAGCAGGGTTGTTAAAACCAAATGACCAGGCCCCACTGTGCAGTTTCTAATTCAAAAGGTCTGGGGAGGAAGCCAAAGTTTGGCTTTCTCTAACAAGTTGCCAAGCGCTACTGGAGCTGCCATTTCGGGGCCCACTCTTGGAGAAGCACATGCCAAGGAGAAGACTCTACAGCGTGCCAGGTGGGCAGACACTGCCCGTGAGCCCGTGTGTTTCTCCTTTTCTCATGTAGGGCCTGCTAAGCTAATGGCCAGCACTGTTAGAGCCCCGGGAGCAGAAAATAAATGTCTCCCTGCAGGACACTAAATCCTAGGGAACATCAGATTCCCAATGATTCGTGGGGGACAGCGCCTTCCAGAGAGCCTCTCGCCCTTCAATTCCAGGGCACGAGTGACCTATGGTAGACATAAAGAATAAGAAGGATGATCATTTTTTATTCAGTTTCACTGCTCAGTGGACAGATGGCCCTTTACTAATATTTAGGAGGGCTTCGCTGGCCGGTAAAAAATGGCGTCTTCACCCACAGGTAGTTTATTGTGTCAAATCAAAACCAAAACAAAAAGTAGTTGAGGACTGTGCTATTAAATGTCTGCGGTTCAAAAGACTGTGCATCCCTGGGGTGGGAGCAGTGGCGCACGTCTGTAATCCCAGTGCTTTGAAGGCAGAGGCAGGAGGGGTGCTTGAGGCCAGGAGTTTGAAGCTGCAGTGAGCTATGATCACGCCACTGCACTACAGCCTGGGCAACAGAGTGAGACCCCTATCTCTTAATAAATAAATTGTAAAGGCTGTGTATCCCATTTGCTCACAATGGCACTTTTCAGAATGCAGTGATACCAACAGATGAGGAAATAAACAGCGCACCTGGCCACTGAGAGGCGGCAAGTTAGGGAGAGAAAAGGAAAGATTTGGTGTCCAATCTCACTCCTTGGTCTGCAAGCCCAGTGACCAGCTTTCTCCAAGTTTGTTTGTGGGGTTTTCTAAAAATTATTTTCTTAGCAACTTCTGAGTCTTCTGCTTGAGGCTCAGGGCCCCTCCCAAAGAGGAGTTGCTTCCATTATAGAAGCAGGAGCTGGCACAGGAATATTAAAGCTCTTACGTCAGGATTTTTAGGTGCTGAAAACAAGAGCAAAACCAACAACCACATCTTGAAATTCAAACCTCAAAGTATGCAAAATGCCAAATGGGCATTGTATGCCAATTAGACTGTAAACAATCTTCTTTAAAAATATTCTGAGAGTTGACTGGTGATGCCTTTTCCATATCATGTCATAATTATCAAAGAGTCACAGACACCACCAGCAACACATGTTCCAGGATGATCCAGGGCACTGACATATGGAGACATAAGGCAGAACCCTGAGCATCCCATAAACTAAGTGCACTGAGAAGGAGGTCACACACGGCACGTGACAAGCATTCGCCTAGGCTGCACACTTACCTGAGCTCTTTGGGATCAAACACCAATTTCACATCGTTGACGATCGTTGGCAAGTATTTCAGTGCTGCCCCCTGCAAACCAAGAAACAAGAAGGCTGAGCAGCATGCAGGTTAGGGAGTGCTCATACTAATTTGTAATCCTTATAAGAAGAACCGCAGAAATACTGAGAAGAGAAAGATCACTTCCAGATGAGGGGCTGATGGCTAACACGATGAAAATAGAGCAAAGAAAAAATTCATCAGGAGCAGTGGTTCACACCTGCAATCCCAGCACTTTGGGAGGTTGAGGCGGGCAGATCGCTTCAGCTCAGGAGTTTGAGACCAGCCTGGGCAACATGGCGAAATTTCACCTTTACAACAAAATTACCCTGGCGTTTGTGGCTTGTGCCTGTAGTCCCAGCTATTCAGGAGGCTGAGGCAAGAGGATCACTTAAGCCCAGGAAGTAGGGATTGCAGTGAGCCACGATCACAGCATGGCAATCCAGCCCCGGCAACAGAGCAAGATCCTGTCTCAAAAAAGAAAACGAACCTCTAATCTACAAAGAATGCTCAAAGAATGCTAAATTCTTACAGGTTGTCTTGACACATAATAAAATTATTAACAGAAGCCAACACTTACCACCTGCGGCCTAAGCGCCTATACAATGTGCTTTTCTGTGCATGTGATTTTCTCCTTTAACCCCTGCAGAGCTCTGTGAGGTTAAAGCAAAATGAAGACCTGTCCCCCTCAGAATAATCCTCTTCCATTAAATTCACTTCAACTCTTCTACATTCAATGATTAAAGTCAACTGTCTTTGTTCCAATCCAAAAATATTTTCCTGTATATCTGCATATACTTTAATTATGAATCATTTTGTTCTTCAGTAATGTATCTTCTAGAAAACAAACACCCTCAAAAAACAGAGTAATGATATTCATGATAGATCCTGTCATGCTACACACTGTGCTAGGACCCGTGTATATTTGATCTTTAATTCTTACAGACCTCCTGTATTAGTCCATTTTCATCCTACTATGAAGAAATACTTGAGACTGGGTAATTTATAAAGGAAAGCGGTTTAATGGACTCACAGTTCCACATGGCTGGGAAGGCCTCTTAATCATGGTGGAAGGTGAAGGAGGAGCAAAAGCACAACTTATATGGCAGCAGACAACAGAGTGTGTGCGGGTGAATTGTGCCTTATAAAACCATCAGATCTCAGGAGGCGTATTCACCATCATCAGAATAGCACAGGGAAAACCTGTGCTCATGATTCAATTACCTCCTACAAGGCCCCTCCCACAACACAGGGGGATTATGGGAGCTACAGTTCAAGATGAGATTTGGGTGGGGACACAGCCAAATCACATCACCTCCTATTATAAGGTAGCTGAGTAGGAAGGAGAAAAAACCGACAATGGAGACATTCATTACTTTGTCCCTGTTCATAAAGCTAGTACTGAACTAAGCTAGAATTAAATTCAGTTGGGGGAAAGTCAGAGACTGAGTCCCTCTGCTCTCTTCTGTTGGGAAAAGTTGCTAGATTTTAAGTGATCTGACTCTGGCTCTGCCACCTTCTACCTGTGTCTTTAAGTAAGAGGGGAAAATAACATTCACGCCAGATACTTCAAGGGGTTGCATTAAAGCTCAAAATCAAATTGGAAAATGAATAGGGTAACACTTTGAACACTGGAAAATACTACACGATTACAGAAACAATTTTTACAATTGTTCTCCAAAAGCAAGTAGGCAGAAACTCATTTGAAAAGTATTCCCCTGAACATATACAGACGTTGATGGATTTGTAACAAAGGTACACAGTACCACGGGCAAATAAATAAACTTCATGCCCTACTCTCTCACACTGCACAAAACTCAACTTTAAATAGATCAAAGATCTTAAATGTAGAACTTCAAAAACTATGAAACTTTCGGAAGAAAATACATGTGAGTTTGGGCTAAGCAAAGATTTCTTAGATATGATACAAATAGCACAATGTGTAAAAGAAAAAACTGATAAATTGGACTTCATCAAAATAAAGAATTTCTGCTCTTTGAAAGGTACTACTGAGATAACAAAAGAACTACACAGGGAGAAAATGACTGGAGATCATAAATCTGCTAAAGATTAGTACCAAGAATACACAAAGAACCCTTAAAACTCAATCATGAGAAAACAATCTTCCCCTCCCCGCAAAATGGGCAAAAGAGATGAAGAGACAATTCTCCAAAGAAGATAGATGGCAAATAAGTACTTGAAAAGACGCTCAGCACCATTACTCATCAGGGAACTGCAAATTAAAATGACAATAAGATACAAGTAACATCTCTAAGAATCATGAAAACAAAACAAAATTCCTACTCTTCGTATAACGTGCTCTTTGTATAACACTGCTAGTCTGAATGCAAAAATAGTTCAGCAACTTTAGAAGAGTTCAGTAGTCTCTCACAGGTAAACATTCATAATCCGTAGCACCCAGCCACTTTACTCCTAGCTACCTCCTCAAATGAAGTGAAAACCTACATTCACAAAAACTGAAGGCATCCTCATAAGGTTAACAAGAACTCTGGACAGCCATACAGTGATAATTAAGCCTGGAACAGGTTGCCCTTCGGCCCACTTCCTCGTAATCCCAAGTCACGCAGCACTAGATACTGGTCATCTGCATCCTCAACGTTCCTGCAAACAGGATTTCTGATATTAGGATCATAAGTCTTTTGTTGAAGAATTGCTTAAGGTGTTTCTCGGATCCTGAATCCCAGGGAAACGGCTGGTGCCAACTGGTTTGAAAACCCTCCACAGAGGAAAGGAATCAGCACTGCAATGCAGTTTCTTCATCTCCCTGTCCCTTCACCCCAAGCTCTTCAACCCACTTAGGCCTGCTCCAAAAACACTTAACAATACCTAGCCCCAAACTCCTCCAGCAGACAATCTGAGGTTTCCTCCTCCTGTTTTGGTGGTTCTATGATTAAAACTCTCTCTGCTGCAACCCAGAGCCGCAGCACATTGACTTGGCATGCACATGGGACAGTGAACCTGTTACAGTTACAAAACCCTTAGGTGGACGTCTCTAGCAGCTTTATCTGTAATCCCCAAACACTAGAAACAACCCGAATGTCCCCTCAAGAGGGGAATCCATACAACGGAACTCGACACAGTAACACAGAAGCACCAACCACTGTTACCTACAACACAGATGCACCTGAACAACACAGTGATAAATAAAACAAGACATATGCAAGAGGCTGCTGCCCATATGACTCAATTTTCATAACATTCTGGAAAAGGCACAGCTATAGGAATGGAGAGCATGTCAGTGGCTGGTGGGGAAGGGGACAGGGGAATGCAGGGGGCTCAGGGGCCCTCCCATGGGATGACTGCATTATGCCTTTGTCAAAGCTGGCACAGCTGTCCAGTAAAAAAGAGTAAATTTTATTGTATGTAAATTATACCTTTTTTTTTTTTTTTTGAGACAGAGTTTCACTCTTTCGCCTGGGTTGGAGTGCAGTGGCACAATCTTGGCTCACTGAAACCTCCACTTACCAGGTTCATGTCATTCTTCTGCCTCAGCCTCCCGAGTAGCTGGGACTACAGGTGCCCACCACCACACCTGGCTCATTTTTGTATTTTTAGTAGAGATGGGGTTTCACCATGATGGCCAGGCTGGTCTCAAACTCCTGACCTCAAGTAATCCACCCACCTCGGCCTCCCAAGGTGCTGAGATTACAAGTGTGAGCCACCGTGCCCAGTCTATACTTTAATTTTGTAAGTGACTAAGAATATATTCCCTGGGCATATTTCCATAGTTACCTGGGATGGGAAATGCCTGAAAGAATGGCGGGCTGGTGTCTCAACTCTGGGGCGCAGGTCAAGTCATTTCAGGTGAGTTCAAGTTGCCTCATCTCTAATGTGAGTATTCTGCACCTGCCAGACAAGTTTCCAGGTGCCGGGCTCTATGGACACATTAATCCCCATGGCAATCTGATGAAGGAGGCCTATTACTATCCCCTTTCACGGAGGAGACGGTGGAGACACGCAAAACTGAAGTCTTTGGCCCAGACTGGCACTGCTGGGATTTGGGGTTGGTCTGTGCAGCCCCAAAGCTAATTTTGCAAAACCACCACGCTTCACCTTCACCAAAAATATAGTAGAGGATAAAGCAACTTTTGCCCCATACATCTCCACTCCAGAACGATCCATGCGATCCATGCTGTTGTTCACCTCAGCGTTCACCCTGTCCTTCAATGCCAACCAGATCCCAACCATCTGCTTTGGGATGCAACTTGTCAAAAGAGCATTAAATAGTAATAATTTCATTCTGATTTCAAAAGTTCTGCTTCCACTACCTCAGTGTTGCTTGGGGAAAAAACCAGAAAACATTTATTGTGACATTTAATAGCCAGCGTTCGCACAGGCTGATTGCTCAGTCTCCCGGTCTCTCGTGTCACTTGCGAACACCCAGAGGGTGAGGCACGAATTGGCTTCATGCATTTTATACTGTGCCCAGCAAAGCATCAACTGCCTGTAGCAAGTTTATAAATACCGTTTCACCAGGGTGAACTGGCCACAAACAAGACAGGCCTTTATGGTCCACCTGCCGCTGGCTCCCCTCGGACCACCGCATGCTGCATGAATCAGGACCGGCAGAGCGCCAGGCAGGGCAAGGGCTCCCAAAGGCTTCCCTGCCGGGGTCTTCCCGAGCTCCTAGAATCAAAAATGTCACAATGACACCCCCAGAGAAGGGGTCGTGCCCCCTGAGGTGGGGACATGGAATGCCAGTGATCCCAAAATGTTGGTTTAACTCAGAATTCTGCTTAACTGACCAAGATGATTTTGTGTCTCTCGGTAAATGAGGTTTAGCAAGAACTGGGAGGAACCCACATCTGCTATCAGTCCTAAGTGATGGAACAAAAGTCAGGACAGAGAGAACGGAATACAGAAGAAACATGGGGAGAGGCGCGTCTTACACTGTGGGTCCACCTGTTCTCCTGAAGGGCTGGGTTTCCTCTCCTCCTCCACTCTCCCTCCATGGCTGACTCAGTCTTTCTTTGCTCTCCTCAAGCCTGGCCCCCACCCCTCCTGTCTCATGT